CTCGGATGTTCATCCCCTTGTGGGCCTCTCACTAACTGCCTTCACAGACCAAAACACTGTATGTGAAGATGTGCTTGTGTATGCATGTAATCATCCGTCACTTGGGTTGCAGTTTCCATTTCACTTTGTTTTCACAAAACTTCACCCATTAAATCTCGCTTCATTGTCCCAGTGAGTTCTCTACGGCACTGCAGGTCGGGTCTCCCAATTGTATGGCGCTACTAACTGATGTGGATATCCTCCTTTCACACTCGCATCGCGCATCACTTGCACGCTCAGATCACATATACGCTTCTATCCATCATGCAAAAGATACTCTCTACTCTCAAACCCTTTCAATGACAGAAAGACTCCTAGAATGTTGTATTGGGTAGTATTAAGGATGAACGACCTTATTCTCACCAGGACCCAGAAAGGAATGGAGGCATTGCCCATGTGGCCTTGCCGACGTGGCCTTGCCCATGTGGCCTTGCCCACGTTGCCCACGTGGCCTTGCCCATGTGGCCTTGCCCATGTGGTCTCTTCCATGCACGTGTTTCCCAATGCAGGGCATTGATTGCAGCCAGCCATTGCCCAAGGGCAGTGTTCTTCAGCTGGATGGTACTCCCGCCACACCCTGCACTGCCTTCTTCTACTCCCTCACTGTAAGAGATGCCGTTTTCCTGCCAACACCGCACCATATTTCAGAATCAACCAACTCACCTTCTCAACTCAACATCTAGCATGATTGTCATATTGCAAGATCCAATCATCTGTGCATCCCTATCCCTGCCTCTCTCCAACCCTCCAGGGGGACACCTGTGCATCCATCAGCAGACAGCTCAACTTCACAGAACCTGATCTCACCGCACTCAACCCCGGCCTTGACTGCTCCAAGCCCATCAAAGCAGGCCGTTCCATGCGCCTCGAGCGCAGTGCTACCTTCGCCTTCACCGTACCCAAGTGTGTGAGTTACGGCACGTTCACACCTCAAGACACGTGCGAGCGGCTGCTTCAAAGGACCGGCACTTCACAGGAGGGTGCCAGTGAGAACGCATGGGCTGCGCTGTACCGCAACAATCCCGGCCTCACTTGCTCCGCCACCATCCCATCCTCTGCCTCTGCTGTCGGCAGCAACATCGGTGTGCAGGTGAGGATTGTGAGGGCTGGGGAACCGTTTCTATATGAATAGGGGAGAATGGAAGGAATATGTGGGTCAAGGTACAATAGGTGTGCTTTGCAGGGTTTCCCCAAGAGTATGTGCCTCGTCTCGTCGCGCTTGCCTCTTCTGTGCATCCCTTGTTGGTTTACTCAGTATCTCCGACACCCTTATTGGTTTATGAGCCTTCTTTCCCATACATCTTATGATCCCAGATTTGCCTGACAGCAGAGTATTGGTCGTTCACGATGGGGATATGCAAGAAGGGGAGGGCAAAGCCTGTCCAGCCATCAATGCCATGCTCAGGTGCTTACCGCTTCTACGGTGGAGGTACTTCAACAGCAATCATACGGTTTTACGAGTACAATGATAGGTCTTGCTCTGGAACTGTCGGAACGAGGTCAATTTGTGTGCCATCGAAATTTTGAACTGATATTTTACTGAATCATTTCATCGCGTAAAAGGCCCTATAAGCTTCCTTGAAGTGAGGTGCCTTCAAAGCTGTGCCAGGAGCCATTGTGAAGGAAAATCTCACATCAGGTGTGCAGTTAAATAGTGCTAACGAGTAGTTTTCCTTTCCAAATAGCAGCTATTCCCATTTCTGCGCCTATTTTACCCTTGAATTCAGCAAATTTTACATTAAGCATCATTACTACGAACAGGAATAATACTGCAACCGCCCCGACATAAATGATTATCAGCATCATTGCCAAGAATTCCACTCCCATAAGAACCATAATTCTAGAAGCATTACAGAAAGTAAAAATTTGCCATAAAACTGCGTACATAATAGCCCAAATGAAGTAACGTACAGCCCTCATCACTTATCTCTATTTACCGTATGGCCCCGGATATAAGCGCAGGCCTATTATAAGCGCATGCGCTTGTATCTGGAGCAATGCGCTTATGGCCGATCCTCATTTATAAGCGCACCCCCTGTAAAACCTTGATTTATTATAAGCGCACGTATAATTCTAAAATTTAAACCAGATTAAAACGGTAGCGATTTCAAATTTTGCAGTGAGGATACAACTATTTTCGCTTCGATTGACTTTCGAGGACCTCACATACTGCACGTCCAGTCAGTATGAGCTGGCATTTCTGATAGTGACGTGTAAATTTTCCCCTGTGCGCCGGCAGAAAATCGCTCACGCGCGAATCTGAATTGCGACTCGCTACCACTTCGATTCGATTGAAATCACAAGAAGGAGATGTACAGTTTGGTGCCAATGAATTATAAATTTGCATTTGTTGTTATATAAGCGCATGCGCTTATAAATCTGACTCAATTATAAGCGCACCCCCTCAAAAAACACTGTTTTATTATAAGCGCACGTGCGCTTATATCCGGGGTATTACGGTATCAGGGCAGTAAACAGCTTATGGGTTCAGGCATAACTCAAGAGTCACAAGGTACCGTATTCTCCCGGATAAAACACCCCCCCGTAATTGTACACCCCCGGGCAGGGGTTTTTTTATCAGAGTAAATTACTCTGTTTCTCTGAAAATCAGAGTGGTTTTTAGGGGGTCACTCTGACGTGTCTGGGTAATTTTTTTGGAGGATAAGTTTTCTCTGATTTGTCAAGGTTCTGATTTTAGCTTCTCTGAGAGACCAGTGTATATTTGTGGCGGATGTATTTTTCTCTGTACAGGGTATAGGCATTTCGACCGACCCCCCCCCGCCCCCCCGTCTCCCCCCCGATTGTTGGAAGATGGGCAGACTTAATAGAGTTATATAAATCCGTAATCGAATAGAATTGTGAGCGCGTAGCACAACGCTTAAAGCGACGGGCAACTTTTGGCAGTGTTGGGTTCAGAAGTTTTTTTTTTGAACCAGGCTTGCCAGCGCGAAAGTGCTGGCTGGCGAAAACCAGGATTTCGTGCGGACACTTTCCATCCGCAGTAACAGTTCGCCAGGGTTCTGGGTTTTGGGTGGCAAATGTGCACCGTCGCTTTAATCTTTTTGGTAGGAGTGCAGAAGGCCTGGGTTCAATACTTGAGAGGACACTCAAAGTTGGAAAAATAGGTACACTGGGTGCCCAGAGTATATTTTTCAGAAGTTAAGTTTTCTCTGACAAATCAGAGTAACGCTCATAATGAACCCTGAATTTCAGAGTTCTCTAGAAAACAGCTCTGGAAATCCGAGTAGTGAAAATCCAAAAAAAAGCCCTGCCCCCGGGTAGCTAATACGGGGTGGGTGTTATATCCGACCCCGTTTGTACTATACCCCCCCTTTTGGGGTGATTTTTTATAACACCCCCCTTTTCTTATAGATTCCTATTATAGCTGTTATCGAGTCCGATTCCTTACGGGAGGATATCGCGAGAATTGCTCCCTAGGTGAAATTTCGCGTGTACTTTCACTTAGAATCTGCCGAGATTTCCCCCCTCCCACAAGCTCGCTGTCGCCACGCTGGCGAATCTTCCGCTGCAAGTGGCCCAAGAGGTGAAAATCACCTTCTCACATGAGGCACAGACACGTGACCAAACCAGTCAAGAAGTGACCGGTACAGTAAGGGTACATTCCGCTGTAGACACTGTCCCAATCGATGTGTCCCAATCGAGTGTACCGCTCTGAACCGAACTAAACCAGAGACGCGAAAAATTCGAAACTAGGGTGCAATTTGGTGTACCGTAATACGATGCAGTGCGGTTGAGACACTTTCGATTGGGACATGTCCAGCGCGGAATGTACCCTAAGAACGCACCACCGTGCGCGATTCTGGCCTCGGCGGTTGCATGAACCCTCGCCACGCAATTGGCTTTGTTTTCACCCTATCAAGTGCCAGAATTTGTCACGTGGCAGATTTCAGTGGGCGGTCACGTTATCCTCGTATACTCGATTTTGCGGCACTGGTCAACAATCTTGAAGTGAAGTCAGACCCCTGGTTTTGTTTCACATCTTTTCTGCTTGATAAAAAATATACCATATAATACCCGGGTATTACGTAGGATTTTCCTTTGAGGAGACCCCCCCCCATTTTTTCCCAGTGCTTTTCATAATACCCTAGGGTGTTTTCTCTAGGAAAATACGGTACTGGTACAGGGTTCATCAAAGACTGGAACCATGTCAGGGCCTGTATGACATGTCACAAAGACCTCCGTGAATACAGTATTGCTAGAAAGCTCCGCTGCAAGTCTGATGTGAGATTGATACACTGAAAACATCCAATTCTTTAAGCAGGTGATTAGGCCACCTCAATTCTCAACACCAAAATAGATTATCTACCATACCGTACATCCAGGCCTCCACACACGTATCAACCACCAGACACACATTTTGTTGTCTTATTCGTATGTGCTCCCCCCACCACGCGCGCACACACACACACACAAGAGAAACGAGTTCCTGCTCTCAAGTCTATAGAGTGACAAACGACGCCACCACTGTGCGAAGCTTCTCATCCACCTTGCTCCAGCGGCGCTCATTCGCCCCAGTTGTCAGCGTGTAGAACTTGCCTGCTCCACCACCACCACAACCACACAGACATGGAATCAGCCGAAGGAGCAATACGGAGTAGCACACACAGAAAGAGTGCAGGACAAGAATGGTGAGGATCACAGACCATATTTGAAATCTGGACCTCTTGAGTGTCTATTTTCCCACAGGTGTACAGTAAAACCAACAAGAATCCTCTTTTCTACCATCATCTTTGCCCCTGTGGTCTGCTGCTGCTGCACATGCAGCAAGCTTGCCGCAGCAGCCACCGCTGGCCATGGCAATGGTGCAGAGACTGCGGTGAGTGTAGGTGCGCCCGTCCAGCTCCCTCTGTGGGAGAGACTTTTGAGGCGCGTCACAAGCCACAGCACGTACCGTTGGCGATGGCGATTGTGCCGAGAGCGTGGCGAGTGTAGCTGGATGCCTGCGCCACAAACTCAAAGTCGTAGTACGTGCGCCCGTCCAGCTCCCTCTGTGCGAGAGAATGGCAGAAAGAACGATAGAAAAGGACAGACAGGGAGAGGTCGATGCCAAGCTAGTGAGTGGAGAGGTCCATGGAACAAAAGGAAGAGATAAAGGAGGTGCATGGCTGCAGCTGAAGTGTGTGTGCCCGTCCAACCCCCTTGGTAGGAGCGAAAGGCGGATAGAGAGGGTGAGACAGGAGGTGAGCAAGTGCAAGAGTGAGAGGAAGCAGCAGGGAAGAAGTTAAGGACGAGAGCAGAAGTCAGAGAGCTCTAGGTCTGTGTGCCCATCCCATTGCATGAGCAAGTCAAAGACAGGCAGATGGGATGAGGAGATGCGGAAATAGATGCGGAAATGAGAATTCAGGAATCAGGAGATCCATGGGGCGAGCGTTACACTGCCCCTAGGGATGGTGCCATGCCATGCCAGCACATGCAGCGACAACACATGCCCAGACAGCCTTCATTTGACCTGGCTGGCTCTGTACCGTATAGGATAGGAGCCTGACAGGTGTCGCGTGAGGCACAGGAGACTGTCTGGGTGGTAATCACATGCCATTGCCTGCCCATGACACGGCTATTTATCTCACCACGTACCATGGACTAGACTTGCCACACAGGAGCCCTACCCATCTTGCAGACCCATGCATGCCCAAACTAGCCCACACTAGCCCACGCAAGCATCTACCAGACAACAGACTCTACCAGTCCACGCCTGCCCACACCAGTCCACGCCTGCCCACACCAGTCCACGCCTGCCCACACCAGTCCACGCCTGCCCACACCAGTCCACGCCTGCCCACACCAGTCCACGCCTGCCCACACCAGTCCACGCCTGCCCACACCAGTCCACGCCTGCCCACACCAGTCCACGCCTGCCCACACCAGTCCACGCCTGCCCACACCAGTCCACGCCTGCCCACACCAGTCCACGCCTGCCCACGCCAGCCCACACCAGCCCACACCGGCATGACTCAGGGGCATTGTTCTCACCACGCGTGTGTCAAGCAGCTTGGTCTTCTGTGAGGGCGCTGTGAGCACCTTCTCCACCAGCGTCTGTGCCACCTGCACAGAGTGAGACAGGGGTGGTGGGATGGGGAGGTGGAGCGGAGGAAAATGGAAGCAGAGAGGCTCTTGAGACTTCATCTACGCTTGGTCTTCTGTGAGGGCGCTGTGAGCACCTTCTCCACCAGCGTCTGTGCCACCTGCTCGGGTAGAGCGCGAGGGGTGTGTGGTGGGGTAGGGGAGGTGGTGTGAGGAGATTTGAAGCGGAGGGAAGGAGAGAGTAGGAAGGGAAAAGGCAAGGGGAAGGGGAAGGGGACGGGGAAGGCGACGGGGGCGGGGTCGGGGATGGGGACGGGGAAGGGGAGGGTGGGGTACAAGAAAGGAAAAGATGTGCACTCAAACCAAAGAAAGTTACACAGTTAGAGAGTTAGCCACACACGGGACTCATCTTGTCTTCCAAGTTGACTGATGATTTCATTTCCTATCAATCTCCTTCTCTTTCTTCGCTCCTCAACCCACCCCATCTCGCTCTACCCATTCTCTTCCCTATCACCATGATTAAACAGGCTTAGTATACATACGATCACATCGTCATTAGCACACTCACCCTTCCCTTACCAATCACGGAAAGCACCCACACTCAAGCACCATAAAACAAACCACACAGTTTACCCAGACTCTCTCACTCGCCCTGGCCCGGCCTTGTCATTGCCACCACATTTCCTAGGTGCATCAAGCAACATAATTCGCTCTGCTGCCCCGGGCTCCATATGGGCGGCTCACCACCTGGGGCGGCTGCTCACCACCCGGGCGGCTCACCACCCATCGCCACAGGCGTTTTCTCGTCCCTCCCTTCCCCCCCAACCCATCAGCTGACAACCCTCCACTCCACATGACCAGCCCACGAGCCTCCCGCAGTTCTACCTTCCCTCACGCCGGCCTCCCCTTCACACCCACCCGTCTACCCACATGCACCAAGAATCGCACCTGCTCAATGGGGCTGGTCTCAGCGAGCGAAGCACGCTACGTGGGGAAGATGTTGACTGCTACGCTCCTTGAGGCTCAGCTCAGCACCCATCCGCCACGCATCCCTCGTCGTCCCTCCCTCCTCCCCAACCCCACACGCCGACAACCCTCCACAGACTCCACACACACACGTGCCAGACCTCCCCTCACCCCCGCCTTCTCCTCACCCCTCGCCCTCCCCCATGCACCATCAATCACGTACCTGCTCGATGGGGCCGATCTCGGCGAGCGACGCGCGCTCCGTGGGGAAGATGTTGACCGCCACGCTCTCCAGCGGCTCACCACTCATCCGCCACGCATCCCCCATCAAACACGTCCGCATTCCCCTCACCTCCCCCCCCCTCTCCTGTTCTCCTCACCCCTCGCCCTCCCCCATGCACCAACAATCACGAACCTGCTCGATGGGGCCGATCTCGGCGAGCGAGGCGCGCTCCGTGGGGAAGATGTTGACCGCCACGCTCTCCAGCGGCTCGATGACGTCCTTGAACACCACGTCCTGCCCGCGCACGCTCACCTCCTGGGGTGAGGGGAGAGGAGGGGGGGTGGGAGGGGGTGAACAGGAGGGTGGGGGGGAGGGGGGGGAGGGGAGGGGGGGGAGGGGAGGGGAGGGCGAGATGCGAGGAGTTTCATTTCTCAAGCTCCATCGATCACGTCCTCGCATGAGCTTGAACACCACGTCGTGCCCATGAGGAATGGCACGCTCGGCTCCTTGAGAGGGGTGGCGGAGGAGGAGGAAGGGAGGGCCACGGGGAGGAGGTAGGGGGACGGGTAAGGGGGAAGGGGCATGGCGGAACGAGTGTGGATGGAACGAGTATCTGGCGGAAGAAGGATGCGCGGATGAATCATTGCCGGCCGGAATGAACAGGCGCAGACCGGATACGGGCGGAACAAGCATGGGTGGATTGAGAATGGGGGAAGCGGGAACGGGAGGACCGGACACGGGCGTAACGGATATGAGCGGGAGGAGCATGGGCGCGAGGAGAGGCACGGGGAAAGCGGCGCGCACCTGCCAGCCGAAGGGGTAGTAGAACTGGTAGCGGTCGACGCTATCCTGATACGCCGCAAAGCAAGAGACGACTTTTGAGGCGCCTCAAAAGGAGGGCGCCTTTTGAGGCGCCTTGACATGAGGGCGGAACGCACCTGCCAGCCGAAGGGGTAGTAGAACTGGTAGCGGTCGACGCTGTCCTGATACGCCGCAAAGCCCTTGGGCGCCGCTGCCAACACACAGAGACGCAGCAGGGGGAGAGCAGAGCGGAGAGAGCGGAAAGAGCAGGGGAAAAAAATCAAATGGCTTTCGAAGCACCTCAAAAAGGGGGAACCTTTCCTATTTCCGGCCGATGCTTGCCTGCGCTGGAAAAAACGACGCGCATGTCGAAACATGCGAGCTTCCACGACCGCCTCCCTAGCGCTGCGCTTCCCTAGCAGGAAACATCCGTAGATTAGAAGACTGTGGCTAACTTGGAACGTTCCTCGTACCTGGTCTACCAGCGCCCAGTGATGCGCTGCAGCATTATGCACAGCTGTGCTACCTGTGCTATACATGCTGAGTGTGCGACAGCTGTGCAAACCGCGCGATGCAAGCTGTGCAGATTGTGCATGACATGATATGATACGATACGATATGGTTGCTTCTTGGATCCCCTTGAAGACTTTAGAGGTCCCGTTTCGCGCAACGGGCGGGAAAGACGGGATGAGAAGAGGGCGAGGGGTCCTCCGCACTCACCGAGAGCGAGCGCGGAGTCGAGGAGCGGAGCGGGGGCGAGCGCAAGTGACACGGAGGTCGCCGCGCCGAGCAGCACGTTCCGCCTGGTCGCCGCGGGGGTGGCTGATGGCGGAACGAGGGAGGGGGAAGAGGGGAGATGGGGAGAAGGGGGCAAGGGAGAAGAAAGCGGGGAGGCAAGAAGCGCAGGGAGGAATGAGCGGATGCGCAGACCGAGAGCAAGAGGAACTCGGGCACAAGAGAGAGGAATGGAACGCCACAGATTCAACATTCGGCTAATCATGGGACTGGTGGTAGGAAAGAAATCAGCTTTCTTCGGTAACCGGAAAGAGAACATAATATAAGGGCTCGTTGGCTATAGCATAATAGGACAGAGCATCGTTGACTATGGGAACAGAATGAATCACATCTAGCAAGCACCAATCACTGCCGCTGTTGTCGCATCGCGTTCCGAATCAAACTGTGATTAACCAATTTTTACTGTATCATACGCTTAGCTGTACATGCATCAGTCCACTAAATTCCATTATTCACTGTGTCAAATATACTAGACTGTTTCACATGTTCAGTGCTATATGCACCAGTCGCATTACCTTCGCAGCGAGTCGCGCGCGACTGCCGATGTCCGGCTTGGGCTGCTCGCTCGGGTTGCGCAACGCACGCGACCTTCCTCAACCCGCTTCCGCTCGCGCTGACGCCCCCCGCATTGACGCGACCCGACCAGCTCAGCGCGTCGGATTGTTGGCAGAGCAGCGATGACGTGGCGACTGAGGTGGCAGCCATGTCGAAAGCTGAAGTGGTGGAGCTTGCGAGCTGTTTGATGTCTACCGTCGGAAGGACGGAAGAGCGGGAAGCAGTGCAATGTACCTTGGCCGAAGGTAAGTAGCTGAGGAATTGAAGGATGCAAATACTCTTCTGAAAGGGCGGTACTAATTTCGAGGCATTTCAGCAATAGATTCCCTCTTGCCCAGCCATGCTGAATCAAGCCAGGAAACGAAGCAGAAAACAAGCTTGACCAAGCCAAGCAACGAGGTTTGGGTAAGGTTTGGATGAAACCTGACAGCTAAAACCCAACTGAAACTCTGGGCTCGTTTCCTTCCGTACCTACTGTTTTGCCTGGAATGGTCAGAGCTTGTTGGGGAAATACCCGCGCCTGCTTGCCCTGGCTGAGAGGTATAGCTGACCAACCAGGTTGGACATTGGGATGTTCGAAGAACGTGACGTGGACCAAAACTGCGTCAAGTTGCAGATCTTCCGATCTGATGTGGCAAACGGGGCTGGGTCTGTTTACGTAAGCAAAGAAGTCCACGTTTCCTGTCTTTTGAACGTGGACGAAACTGCGCCACAGCACAGACGCGTGAACCGAGGGCAGGTTCGTGCGAAACAGGACACAACCAGCCTCAACTTTTCCGAACAGCGACTCCAGTTTCTTGTTCAGAATCTAAACATAAATCCATTACTGTGCGTAAACGTGTCATCCTTCCATATCGAGGATGAATCCGGCTCCCGACTGCTGACAGCCAGTCACGCATCAGCCTTTCTAAGCTTGTCCAGCATGGCACCCAGCATGAACGTGGCACTCACGCAGCGAAACACGTCAGTGGCAATTTTACTCCAATGTGGTGTCAAATTTTTCGTAAAGGACGTGTTCAGTTGTATGCTGGACAAGAATTGTCCTCAGGCCGTAAAAGAACTTTGTCAGGGAGGGCATACAGTGGATGTAGAGGAAATACATCTTTGGGAATTGGTCAGTAACCCCGAGCAAAATTCACATTATAGTTGCAAAACAATATCTAAGTACCGCGGCACGAACGAGAATTCGGTCTTGTCCAACACGCCCTCGTTCCTTCATCCATCAAATTACATTAGCATGTTGCATGCCAATCTCTCCAGCCATTCCTTGACACACTCAGAATCTACCTTTCAGCTGCCGCGTGCGCTTGCTACCAGCGGTAACCTCCGCGCGCGTGCTCCCACGTGCGAAAGTCCGCTTCTACCATGAGCCCTTCCGCCCTCGCTCCGCACTCCGCCGTCGCCGCGCGAATGATGTCCGCGCATTTTGCTCCTCCCGCGTCTTCCTCGCTCTCTCTCCGCTCTTCCCCTTCATCCCCCGCCTCCAGCGCCGCTTCCGCATCCTTCTCCGCTTCCCCCTCCCCCTCCTCGTCCCGCAAATCAGCCTCCCGAGCCGCATCCTCCTCACCACTCTCCGCGATCTCCAACGGTGGCGCGGGGCCGCTTTTCCGCCGTCGAACCGCCATGCAGCGGCTCGGCGGGCTTCTCCTGCCGCTGATTGGCTCCGCGGGGGCTGCTGGGCCTGCCGTAGCGCGATCGAAGGCCTCTGAAGCAGAAGAGGTGAGCGCGCGTGGCGGATTGACGTACAACCGTAGAGATCAAGGTTTAGGCGACTTATAGTAGTCTCTGGAAGGCGTCATTTCGCGAACAGTAGTCACCTCGTATCGTCCCGGAAAGGTCTAGCAGGAGCAAGAGAGCCCTCATGTTTGAACATGAGGGCCTATGAGCAGAGGGAGTAATCGAACAGCACCAGCCGGGAGGATGCAGCTAGGCTTGTGGTAACGCTGCCTTCGAGCCGTGGCGCAAGCTCTGGCTATAGCCGAGATACCTGGCGCAAGGCTAGTTCTGGGAATCGTAAGTAAGTTTGGCTGGGTGTAACCCCGCCTACACCCCCCCCCCCTCTTCCCCCCCCGCCCCGTTCCCCCCCCCCTCTTCCTCCTCCCCCCCCCCCCCCCCCCCCCGCCCCCCTCCTCCTTCCCCTTCCCCGGCCTCTCTTTGCTCACTTTCCCACCGCTTCCCCTTTCCCGTTTGTCTTTCTCCCCGCGCCTGGATGATTCCCCCACGTCAGGTGTTGCGGAAGGCGGAGTGGCCGGCGCAGTTCCCCTTCTCCGCGGAGGACTTCAAGCGCTACGACGAGTGAGTGCTCTACTGCGCTGCGCGGGAAATATCTGGAAAATAGGGTAACTAGTGACGATGCATGGGAGAGTTCTATGCATTTGAATTCAATTTAGATGTATTGATTAATGCTTGGGAAGCGGATGAGTGCTGCTGAATGTCAAAAGTACCTCCATAGAGTGAGTGTTGCGCGTGCATGCACACCAACCAATGGGCGGTGGTCGTGGCTCTATGGGAAGATATGTAAGGTAAAGACGAAGAGGTGAGTACAGGGGAGGAGGAGACATGTAAGGTGTTCTCATTGAATCTTCTTTCATTGGAGTGAAGGGAGATCGAGAGGTGAGTCTGCGTGCAGGGATGAGACGAGAAAGAGAGAACACCATGGCATGGAATAGGAGAGGAGAGGCACAGGCGGAACAGAGACCTTGTGAGCGATGGCACGGTGACAGGCAGGGGTGACGACTTTTGAGTCGACCCAAAAGTCAACCTCGTGAGAGATAGCATGCTGATAGGGGCCGTTTTCGGTGGCGAATGTTACTGTGCCGATGTGAAGACAGACTTCGTGGCGTGAGGTTGGGTCTAGTTTTTAGGCGCCTCAAAACTCGATTGTTGTTGCGCCGCTGTGAAGACAGACTTCGTGGCGTGAGGTTGGGGAGACGCAGGTGAGAAGATGCGGGAACGCCCTTTCGGTACGATTTTACGGGAGGAAGGGCTGTGTGAAAGAGCGTTTCCTCACCCAAAACCCCAAGATGAAACAAACGAAACGACCATCCCCTCCCACCGTACCTATTCCCTCGTTTCCTCGCCCCCCGCAGGACGCCACACACGGTGTTCTACTCCATGCGGTGTCACTCCCTCCTTTCCGCTTCCCACCTTCTCCCACCTTTCTCCACCTCTCTCTACCTATCCCCTGGCCCCCCTCAGGACGCCTGACACGGTGTTCTACTCCATGCCGTTTCTCTCCCTCCTTTCCCCTTCCCACCTCTTCCCACTTTTCTCCACCCCTTCCCTCACCCACCGCTTCCCACCCTACCTATTCTCTCGTCCCTGCGTGCCCTGCCCCTCAGGAAGTTAGATATGGTGTTCTACTCCATGCCGCGCTTCGTCACACACATAGACGACCCTGCCATCCATGCACTCACACAGTGCGGCCGCGAAACAATGCAACATGAAGCCCAAGCAGGCTGTGTCCCCCCATTCCACCCATTCCCACCTTCCCCCACCTCTTCCCACCCTATCTATCCCCTCGTTTCTACTCCCTGTGTCCCCTCATCCCCCCTGCGTGCCCCTTTCAGGACGCCAGACACGGTGTTCTACTCCATGCCGCGCTTCGTCACCATCGCCATCGCCAACGGTACGTGAAGTGGCTTGTGAGGCACCTCAAAATCCTCTCTCCCATAGAGAGAGTCGGACGGGTTTAAGTACCACGCCTTTGAGTTTGCTGCGCAGGCATGGAGATGCACTCACCAAGCTCTCGGCACCATTGCCATCGCCAACGGTGGGTGCTGCGGCAAGCTTGCTGCATGCGCAGCAGCAACCGACCGCAGGGGCAGAGAACATGGTAGGAGGGACTTGTGTTGGTTTTACAGTACATTTGTGAGATGATAGTCACTCAAGAGTTCCAGCTTTTGAAGGCTACCGTATATGGACTTTTATCCTCACCATTCTTGTGCAGCACCCCTTGTGTGTGTGCTACCGTGCCGTTTGGTTTCCTATGGCTGACTTCATGTCTGTCTGTGCATGTGTGTGTGTGTGGTGGTGGAGCAGGCAAGTTCTACACGCTGACAACTGGGGCGAATGAGCGCCGCTGGAGCAAGGTGGATGAGAAGCTTCGCACAGTGGTGGCATCGTTTGTCACTCTATACACTTAGCTGGGATTCGTTTGTCGTGTGTGTGCGTGTGCGCGTGTTGGGGGAAGCACGTAAGAATAAGACAACAAAACGTGTGTCTGGTGGTTGATGTGTGTTTGGAGGCCTGGTTGTACGGTATGGTAGATAATCTATTTTGGTATTGCGATTTAAGGTGACCCAATCACCTGCTTAACCAATTGAATGTTTTCAGTGTATTGTTCTCACATTTGACTAGCAGTAAAGATTTCAGTTAATACTGTATCCCTGGAGATATTTGTAACATGTCAAACAGGCCCCGGCATGGTTTGTCTTTGTTTGAACCTTTATGTGGCTCGTGACATGAGTCATGCTTAAATTCTTGTTATTTACAGTAGATATCCTGAAAAGTATGCTAAAGATCAGTAACGAGGCATCCATTATTTTATTTGGGCTGGGTTAATATATCACATGAAATCAAAGCGAGCAATGTGCTATTCGCAAAGGAATAACTCCTCATTTGCGCTATTTTACTGCACAACCACTTATATACATGTTCCATGACCTTAAAATTTAAATGGCACACAAATAGACCTCGTTCCTACAGTCCCAGAGCAAGACCTATCATTGTACTCATAAAACCGTGTGATTGCGGTTGAGGTAGTTTTACTGTAGAAGCGGTAAGCACCTGAGCATGGCATTGATGGCTGGACAGGCTTGGCCCTACCCTTCTTGCACAACCCCATCGTGAACGACCAATACTCTGCTGTGAGGCAAATCTGGGATCATAAGATGCATGTGAAAGGAGGTTTATAAATCAGTAAGGATTCCAGAGAAACAGAAATAAAACTAACAAGGGATGCACAATAGATGCAATTTTTGAGGCGCCTAAAAAATGCACAGTAAGATGAGGCACATACTCTTGAGGAAACCCTGCAAAGCGCACCTACCATTCATTGGTACACAGATTCCTTCCGCCTGTTTATATATAACGGTTCCCCAGCCCCCACAATCCTCACCTGTACACCGATGTTGCTGCCGACAGCAGAGGCAGAGGAAGGGATGGTGGCGGAGCAAATGAGGCCGGGATTGTTGCGGTACAGAGTAGCCCATGCATTCTCACTGGCACTGGAACCCCCTGGTGAAGTGCTGGTTATCTGAAGCAGCCGCACGCACGTGTCTTGGGGTGTGAGCATGCCGTATCTCACACACTCGGGTACGGTGAATGCGAAGGCAGCACTGCGCTCGAGGCACACGGAGCGGCCAGCTTTGATGGGCTTGGAGCAGTCAAGGCCGGGGTTGAGTGCGGTGAGATCAGGTTCTGTGAAGTTGAGCTGTCTGCTGATGTACGCACAGGTGTCCCCCTGGACGGTTGGAGAGAGGCAGGGATAGAAATGCACAGATGATTGGATCTTGCTCACTGGTTTCGACAATGCTGCGATATGTTGAGCTGAGAAGGTGTACTGGTTGGATGTAAAATTTGGTGTGGTGGGCAAGAAAGCGGAGTAGAGCTGAGAAGGTGTATTGGTTGGATCTCACGTTGAGGGAGTAGAAGAAGGCAGTGCAGGGTGTGGCGGGAGTACCATCCAGCTGAAGGACACTGTCCTTGGGCAATGGCTGGCTGCAATCGATGCCCTGAATTGGGGAACACGTGCATGGAAGAGACCACATGGGCAAGGCCACATGGAAAGGGTTCTAAGAGATACGATACGCCAGGAGTATCTCTACCATGTTGGGAGGGAGTAATGATGCGAGCGTGAAAGGAGGATATTGGAAACCAAGCCATACGATTGGGAACCAAGCTGTATTGACGTGAGAACTCACGGGAGCCATGGAGATTGTAACGAGTCAAGTTACGTGAGCACCAAGTCATATGGAAAGTGCAATCCAAATGACAGATGATGGCCCGTGACTCCCACCCCATCTTCACCCACAATGTTTTGGTCTGTGAAGGCAGTTAGTGAGAGGCCGACGAGGGGATGAACATCCGAGCACCACCAGCTGTCTCCACTGACTGTCATTGTGGTGGCCGTGGTGTTGGCTGCAGGCAGAAACGGGAGTGAGAGAGACACAGGCAACGGAAAAGAGACAGTGAGCCTCTACAGATCTGCAGAAATAGAAAGGAAATTAGAGAAAAGGAAAATGCTGGCCCCCTCAACCAAGCGAAGATTACCAGGCATATTCACAAGCAAAGGAGAACTACAGACGTATTCAAGCCACCTACTTGGATCGCAGGTGGGGAAGCCGTCAATGGTGGTGCTGGGAACGTGGTTGGGAGGGCAGATGCAGGAGTAGGCGCCCTTGTCATCATTGATGCATGCTCCCACGTAGCAGGGGTTCTTGAAGTATGACCCACACACGTCCACTGCCACACGTGCACCGGGGTGGGTGGCGGATAGTACGGAGCATTGATACAAATACGGTGTTCAGGATGATTAAAGGAGGGGGAAAAATGAACATAGAAGAAAGGGTATATGGCTGCATACTCCCATCGAGCCAGACAGCGGCCAAACCTCTGGCCTCTGCAGCTAGGGGACCTCAAGCACTCAATAAACGTGGGTGGAAGTATGTACTATGTAGAACACAGGATTTCAAGAGGAGTCTTGTTTCTCACCTCATTGCCCTCACTCGCTAGCACTGCATAGATTTGAGAACTTTGCGTGCCAAAACAGCCAGACAAACTTTCTTGCGAGACAGACCTACTTGCCCTTCTACCCTCCTGTTTAATTGCCAGAAAACTCACCATAAGCACATGTGTTGGAGCCGTATCCATTCTCAACCTCCACAAAGGGCTGCACAGGAGCGGTCGGAATATTGCAGGAGCAGTTGTTGGTGGTGTCTGTCGTCCCCTGGCACTGGAAGCGACCGCACGGGTTCATGCTGGGCTGCCAATCCCCATCGCCCTTGTAGCTGCTCTGGCCGCAGGGGTCGCCTGGAACTGGGAGGTGTGAAAGAGGTTACACTTGAGGAACATGATAAAGGAGGTTGGCAGTTGACAGCTAACGAACAGCTAACAAACATGTTGACTACTATACGTTGTGCGGAAGCGTTTAAACTAGTACTACAAACTTAGAATTGGCAACACTTAACTTCACTTAACTTCCTAGTAATTCACTTTACTTTCTTGTGTCATGTTGCGATCATGCACATGTGCACGCTCGCAACAGTGCGCGGTACACACGCGTGCCTTGTGGGGCCACACGCGCGCGCCAGGACCCATGCATGGGTCATGAATTTCGCGCCATTGACCTGCGCGAGAAAGTCAACTGGCACCCCCTCGCCAGTCAACCCCGGTATACCACCCGCTCGCATGGAGCTCCAATTAGTCTCGCATGAGACATTTACGTCTCATGTGACTTTCATGGGTTCTCATTTGAGCCTTTCATGAGAGCCTCATTTGAGCATTCATGTGAGCCTTATGTGAGCGCTTCATGAGAGCTTAATGGAAACAGTGAAAGCGCAATACAAAATGCATTAACACAAAATGCAATTACGAATGAAAACGAATCACACAAAATGCAAGGACAAATGCGCACAGAACACACAAAAAATATAAATGGAAATGCGCACACACGAAATGAAAATGCGACGCAGGCGGCTGGTTGACGTACAATGTTTTTTTATTTGCACCCAACAAAACAGCTAACAAGTACCACAGTGGCGAAACGTCACTCAGTGCACATGTAACAAGTACGGTGCCATGATTGACCACTAGTGGAAAAAAGATTCAGAATTTCAGCTTGCTTGCAGATCCCATATATGCCATGCGCTTTACGCCACTCTTTCCTGGTAATGAGGTGGATACGACAGAGTCGATATGACTCACTTTTGACAATGGGTTAGCTTACTCTTGACAATGGGGTAGATGCCAGGCAGCACGTTGATGCCACACACGCCATCCCCTCCCTGAATGTCCATGCGCATGTGACCCCTCTTTCCCCACTCCTCTCCCCACGAGTTGCGGATGATCCAAAAAGGAGGCGCAATGCGGTTCTGGCTGCCATCGTTTCTTGTGATGAAGTAGCCAATAACGAGTACAACATGGTTGAGATTGCCCGTGTAGCAACCAGGATCTTGATACTTGAACGTCTGAAACGAAATGGGGTCACAACATTCATAAATGGGGAGTTCAAGAAGCACAGTCATATGGGTATGAAGAAGCTGCGGAAGGGGTTGCAGAATGAGGCACTGCAAAGGGATGGTAATTGGTCTATACCATTCGAACTCATAGCGGAATAGCACCAAACAATCCGTCATATAGGCAGTGACTTTCAACACAAGGACTGCACGACACGGTTTGCATGCAGGATAGTGAGTGAGACACACGGACCACAGACGACATGGCAGCATGGCAGGCATGCACCAAAGAAGGTGAGTGAGAGTTGCAGCGACTCACCCCATCATACAGCATGAAGGTTGGAGATGCCTCGATGTGAACCACCACTGGCTGCCGCTGCACTGCCAGCATGAGCCCCACATACCCCTTGAACTGCGCTCGCTCAAACGCTTGCACCGGGTACCTAGTTGCCTGGGGCCACAAATGGGCAGCATTGTTGCACGGGAAAAGGTGGGTTATGGGTGAGAATTGGGGGGCTTGAAAAAGGTTGTGAAACTAGAGAGTGGTACAACTGGTGCAGGACACACGACATATCTTCCACCATGGCAAATAAATGGCTCAACAGATCAGCAACCAATCTCTGGGCTCCAGACACCAACAAGAAAGTCGTTTTTTTTTTTTTTGTTTTTTTTTTTATGTATATATATTTTTTGTCAGAAAATCAGCTGACTGATTGGATGAGGTGATTCTGGTACTAGTTTCGAGCCCAAGAACGGGCAAGCGGGCAAAGTGATTCACCCTCCACAAAGCTCACACCTATAAACCTTCCATGTCTAAATCCCATCTCACAATACATACATACCATACCACGTCCTCATTCTGCTGGACCTACCAAGTCGCTGACCCCTGTGAGCCCACTGGTGGCATCGAGAACCACGAGCGTCTCAAAGGCCTGGGTGGGGGAGCCGCCAGCAGTGCACCTGTCGGAGTCGGAGAGCCCCATGAGGGTGAAGAGAGAGGGCACTGATAGCCGGGGAGCGCTCTGCTGCTTTGCAATGCCGTATGCCGCCTCCACACTTGCCACCACCGCATACGCCCAGCACGCATCTGAGAGGAAGGCGAAGGTGAAGCAAGGTGAAGCGAGCAAGGATGGAGTGATGAAGATAGGCTGCACGTTTCATGTGTATGGATTACACATTTATGTTAAGAGGGTAAAGTATAGATTTCCAGTTTCCTCACAATCCGAGTCAATTTTAATGAAGTTGCGTTCCCATCCCCCCTTCTCCATTTAATCACTCTTAATGTGATATACTTGACCCGTGAGCCTTCTATTAGAAGATGCAGGTTCATAGGCATCTGCTGCGTGAACGCAGTACATACTACAATAATCAGCGAAAAAATGGCTGTGAATAAGGATTGCCAGGATTCCTAGTAAGTTAGTTGTTGAAATCGATTAGTAAACAACAACAGCATAATGGATTGGAAAAGCAGCTCAGATTCTGAAGTGGACTTGCAAGTCTATTTCCACTCACGGCAGTCGTTTTGGTTCTTGACAGGCCAGTTGAGGAAGGGCACGGAGTCCCACGTGTGGAAATCACGAATGCTCCACGAGTCCGCTCTGGTGGCCGACAGCTTGAAGTCCGCACTCACATAGCGCGAGAAGGGACTGGCTCGAGTCGGTGCGAATGTGGCCTCTGACAGTGAGAGGCCGAGGGCTGTGAGGGGTGGGAAGGGGTGGAGATGAAGAGAGATGTGGATGGGTAGTAGTGGAAAGGCATGGCGCGGTCTGGACTTACGACGTCACGGTCACTGAACCAATCTCCTTGCAAGCTCCAATGGACTGCAAAGAAGCCTGACATGTGAAAACTTGTATTATTAATATTATTATTGTTATTATCATCATCATCATCATCATCATCATCATCATCATCATCATCATCATCATCATCATCATCATCATCATCATCATCATCATCATCATCATCATCATCATCATTATTATTATTTGGGGGGTTCAGAACATATAAAAGGTTCTGGTTTCCACATGGCATGTAGCTCACCTTGCTCCTTGGTCTGCACGACCATGGTTGAAGGGGCGCCTGTTGAGAAAACCACAAGACAAAAGAGAAGGATAGGGAGTGTTGGTTGGACACAAGAGAGTGCTGGTTGGGTCTTGGATAGGGAGAGAGCACCACAAGAGTGGGTAGCAAAGGCAAGTTCATGCTGATTAGCTACCACTAGCGCGACAAATGTCTAGCCATGGCAGGAGACATCATCATCAGTGCCCAGCAAGGACTCATTAAAAAACCATTACATAGTGTATTGTTCATCAGAAATGAGCCAAGGCTTGAACCCAAATTGGCTCCAAATGAATCGAGTTGAGCCAGCGGGTTGGTTGAACCCAAACTGGTTTAAGTCAAACCAGATGATTTGGCCAAATTCTTATTCCTGCCTATTTCTCATCATAAACCATTGCCATCACTACAATTCACCACCACCACCCCGAATCTATCATCAACGCAGTCAGCATCACCCCACCTGCCCAAAATAGAGGCCTTGCCTGTTTGCACAGAGGAGGAGAGGATGCCATGCAGCTGGAAGGGCTTCACAGTGGTGGACGCCGTAAACCCAAACGAGAACGCCGCCTGCTGCTGCTTCACCCGCGGCTGAAGCACCGCACACAGCGACACACCCTTCTGCAGCAGCAGCGGCTCCTCTGGCTTCTCGTGTGAGCTCGCCAGGAACACTCGAAAGGTGCCGGGATCCCCAGGCTCATAATCCACCCATGCCGTGTATGCATCTCCGTCGGTGAACATAACCGGTGATACCTTTGACACCACGGGTTCCTTCCTACCATTCATGTTCAGCCCTACGTGCTGGTGACTCTCTTCAATATCAAATGTAACGGCTATGCTCCGAGCTCCCACCCCGCTATACCCCACACCACCAGGTTTCCCTGCCTTGGCCGTTGCGGCAATCACAAATGCAAAGCCGCTGGGGCCGGTGGTACCAGAGTGGGGCAAGAGAGCGAAGGTGAAGTTGACATTGAAAGCCAACTCCAAGCCACATCTTGAGGTCACACCAGGCGGGTAGATGAATAGGGTCACTGGCTTTTCTGCAAACTTCCCCACTGTTTCCTGCTGCGCGCCCTTGGTGAGAACCGTGAATGGTGGGAGAATTCTCCTTGAGGTGGCTGGAGAGTTGCGAGGGAAGGGCGGCGGTGCATGGGGAAGGGGAAGGGTGGGAGTGAGTGGGAGGAGAGCACCGGAATGTGTATGTGTTGAGTTGTGCAAACTGGATCATATGGTCAAACCACGTGGAAGTGACGTCCGTAGATAAGGGGTCTGTGCCTAGTCTATCGTGATTCTAGTGTGTTTGGCACCGTGATTCAGCATGCTCAACAAGTATGATCAACCTTCAGTAGGTGCAGAGCTAGAAAGGAGAGGAAATGGATAGAAAGTGCATCACTTAGGAGCACCAAGACGACGACGTCCTTAGACTCAGTGCCTTATTCTTCTTCTGAAAGCAAGGTACAATCGAAAAAATTACATTAGACGTGGGCAGTTCATTGAAAACAGAGGGGTTTGGTTGGGATCTTCAACATTATTTCTCCCCCCCAATAAGTTGAGGTAAAAAAATTAGGGCAGGGTTCAGAAAATATCAACTAACAATGAGCCAAGAGTTTTTAGGACTTCATTTATATTCAAACCCAGCCTTGGGGGTCTATTCGGGCCAAAGGTGGATATCCAACCACACGTAGGGTTGACTGACCCTAGATAGGCACCCAGACAAAGGTTGCGTGCGTAACTCTACCCAAGCTATGTGCAGCAAGATGCAAAATGCAAAGTGGGGCGTCAACTGGAGTGGAAAAGGTTGGAGGGAGGGGCAGAACGGGGAACACAGCCCAAGCAAAGCGGCTTACAGGGATGTTAGGTTTCTAAGGTTGCCGATTGCGGTGGGAATTGTGCCAGTGAGCTGATTGCCAGAAAGGAATCTGCACAGATTAACATGAAGGCCAAGCGTTAGGTAGACACAAGGATCTCAACTTGGCAGGAAAACTACCAGCAGATTAGAGAAAGCAAACACCTTTATTCGGAGGTGGAATTCCTGAAATTTGGAACAGGGGCATGAAAGGCAATACAGCGAACATTGTTTCCGAGATGTGTCCAGAATAGCAGGAGATAGATGGGGTTAGGAGAGTGAAGGAAGATGTGTTGTTTTCTTGCACCAGGGAATGTATTCACTGTACAGAATAAGCATGGAAAAGAGCATGAGAGTGTTAGGGTTCATTCGTGAGATCGTGGAGAACACGATAAGCTATAGCAAGTAGACTATTGCCGACTAATTTTTTTACGATCCCAAGAGAGAGAGTGGGGGAGAGAGTGAGAGAGAGGCAGAAACAAGGTAGGAACAACAGGTAAAGCAAGGAATGAGGGGGATGGAACAGATCATGGCACTTTACCCGAACGGGTCGAGTAACCCGACCCGACCTGACTTCTTAGTCGGGCCTGGTTCTTACATTCGAAGTGACTACCCGCGCGGGTGGGGTAGTGTATACTCGCTCCGGTGTTTTATTACCCGTTACTCGACCCGGATGTCCAATGTCGGGTATGTGAAACCCGACAAATGTAATCCTAAAGCAGGTTTAGAAATATACATAATAATTACAGAACATAATCAATAACGGGTATATTCGACCCGACCTCGGGCTCTAAATACCCGAGGGCCGAGGTGTACAGGTTGGGTCGGGTATACACCCTTTACCTTGTTGGTGTTAGCCCTCAATCTCACATTTTGTACTTGTAATTTTATATCCTAGCTTAGTGTAGTTTGCACTTTGTGTTTGCTCATTTCTGATGTACTTAAAGAGCTTTGAGCTCACTACTAATGTATCAGTTCTAAGCCTAAGCTCTGACATGGTATCAGATCCCTTCAACCGCACACGCGGATCGTGATCCTCAAATCTTTGCGGATGCTCGTCCCGCAAACCTCGTCGTAGCCACCTTCAATCTCGTCGCCGGTGATTCGCGACATTTGTGGGCGGAAATTCTCCCGCACCACCTTCTCGTCAATTTCGACGACATTTACTATCTTTCTGGTAAGTGCATCGTCGGGGCCGTAACCTATCGCTCCTTTTCGTCGAACATCATCGCGTCATCTCTTCTCCTCGTCGGGCCGCCGCCCGTCGCCCTGCAGCGTCACCTTCAGGCTGCCGCCCGTCGCCCCCCGTCGCCCCGCATCTGCACTTCTACCCCATCCCCCCCCTTCCTGCAGCTGAACAGGTGCAGCAGCGCAGCCGAGCAGCAGCGCAGCCGCGAAGCCGAGCAGCCGTGTAGCCGCGAAGCCGAGCAGCAGCGTAGCCGCGAAGTTGAGGGTGGTGTGTGGGGGGGTGTGTGGGAATAGGGCTAGCAGACACTAAATCAGCGCTTCCGTCAAATTCTCCTTCGAAAACTGAAAACCTCAAAAATTCTCTTTTGTAAACCCAAAACCCCAAGTTCTTCAAATTCTCCTTCGTAAACCCTCCTCAACTTCCTATCAGTGACTTAAGAGCGGCGCTCTGCGCGAGACTTCAAAGGGTCTTCATCATGGCCTTCTCCTCGTCCACCATGGCCAACACCATCAACCCACTCCGCCTTGAAGCCGACGGCTCTAGCTCCAACTTCAAGGCTTGGAGCTACGGGGTTGACAAGCACCTCTTGAGTCGTGACGTGCAGGGATTGGACCTCAAGGACGTCCTCCTCAACCGTGGCAAGGGAAAACAGCCCCTTCTCCCCCGTGAGCCGACCGAATCCGCCAGTGATACTGACATGAGGGCGTACGAGGAAGCCGTTGAAAAGTACCGGAAATGGGAGAAGGCCGACGCTGCTATCATCAGCGTCTTCATCGCCTCCACCCCTCTCGAACTTGGCAACACGTTCCACAACTACCCTACCTCCAACGCCATCTGGAAGTACCTCCAGGATCGGTTCATGAACAAGACGGCTGTCGGAGTTGCCATCCTCATCCCCAGCATGTTCCAGGTCCGCCTTGAGGATTGCTCGGGAATGGCTGACTACATCGCCAAGGTGCAGACCATTCACGGCGAACTAAAGGAGCTGGGTATAGTCTTCCCCGAACAAGCCCCTGCAGCGGCCCTTCTTCTTGGTCTCACCTCAGCATATGAAGTCACGAGGAAGATGCTTCTCACGCTCTCAGCGGAAGACCTCACTTTTGCTAAGGTCTCCACCGCACTCAGCTCTGCCGAGAAAGACTCCACGGCTCAGGCCAAGGCTTACGCCATCCGCGCTCCCATGCCCCAAGCAAGTGTCGTAGCGGCTCTCGCCTCGGCGCCCTTCCAGCGCAACCGCTTTCCTCCGTGCCCCTACGTCGTCAAGTATGGCAACCGCAAGGGACAAGTGTGTGGTGGCACTAATCAGCCCCTTGCTACGTGCTTCAAGAAGAAAGACGACAAATGGTATGCCATCCGGGAGTAGACAAGAAGTCGCCAAACTGGATGCGCCCTCGCAAGGCCAACCTAGTTTAGGTCCAGGACCCCGCGTCGGCTAGTGCTAGTGACAGTGCTCCTGCTGATGTGCGTATCAACCTGTTGTTCCCTGGCACTGCCATAATAAATGAAGCTACCTCCCAGTACATCGGCTCATCACAGGCACCACAATACATAGAGTTCACACTCGACAGTGGGGCCACTCACACTGTGCTCAAGGAGACACTCTCCTTCAAACCCTACGCAACACCCATTCCTCTCTTGGGAGCTGACTCAAGCTTCACCACTCTTGCCAAGGGTACATCCACAGTCCCGTGCCCCGCCTTACCATCCGGCACTGTCACTGGCATATGCGTGCCTTCACTACGCCACAATCTATTGGCCCAAACGGAAATTCAGGACGCGGGTCTACGCACCATCGTCTCGGAGAACGAGGACTATTGCGACATCATGGATCCACTCACCAAGAAAATCTTGGCCCGCTTCACCCTCAATAGTAGCGGCCTCTACACGCTACGCGTACCTCTCCCACAGGTGTCAACCACCCAAGCATAGGCTACTATCACACCATGCTCATATCGCAGCCTCTCCAACCCGACCATCCTTTACCACCATCGGCTCGGGCACCCAAACTTCCGCACTCTTGCTGACATGGCCTCCAAGAAACTTCTTCTCGGCCTGCCAGCCGCACTTCCTCCACCACCTGACTCACCCGCTCCCACGTGCCTTGATCGCACCAAGAGCAAACTGCGCCAACAGCCCCATCCTGCCTCACCCACAGTCCCAGCAGCACCACTGGACCTAGTGCACATGGACGTCTGGGGCCCTGCCCCTGTTCCCGCACAAGGTGGCCATCGCTACTTCCTTGCTATCGTGGATGACCACTCCCGCTACGTCTCTGTTCACCTCCTCCACACCAAGGCTGAGGTTCCAGAGGTCATCATGGCGTGAGTCAAGCAGGCACAGACCACCTTTGACCGCAAGGTCAAGCGCCTTCACTCGGATGGGGGGGGTGAATTTTGCAACGACAAGCTCAAAGCCTTCTGCTCCTCTGAAGGCATCCAGCAAAACTTCACCCTTCCTGACAGCCCGCAGCAGAACGGCATAGCAGAGAGCCGCAACCACACCCTGGTACAGATCACTCGGTGCCTCCTCAGCCATTCCAACGCTCCACTCTCTCTCTGGGGGTACGCCCTCTACCATGCCGCGCTCCTCTATAATCTTTACCCCCACCCGCATCTTCCCGACACCACTCCAACCACACTTTGACTCGGGAAAACACCCATTGCTCGCTCTCTTCGCGTCTGGGGGTGCACCGCCTATGTCCTCCTCAACCCTCAGGCTAGGCGGCAGCGCGGTGGCAAACTCGGTCCCAAGACTCAAACGTGCATCTACCTTGGGCACAACGCCGACTCCCCTGACTATCTCTTCCTCAACCCCTCCACTCAACAGTTAGTCCGGAGCCGCGACGATGTCTTATGATGAAACCCACCCAAGTCGCCTAAATCAACCCCTCCGACACCGCCTGCCCCACCCTCCTCTCCGGTGGCTCATGGCACTCGTTCGCATGGCCCTACTCTCCCACTGGCACTGGTTCTCCGCTGCACAGCGATCACTCCAACTCCTGCCGGGGGGGATGTACCCTCTACCTTTCTGGAAGACAGGCATGAGGAGCTGTGTGATCTTCACGCAGTCATTCCCCAACTCTCGCACATCTTCCCCGACATCACTGAGTCACCCTCACTCGACTTCACGGGGAACCCGACCATCTCTATCCCTCTCACCATTCAAGAGGCTCTCTCGGGTCGCCATGCTGCCGAATGGCGTGCTGCCATGGAAGCTGAGATTGAAGCCTTCACCCGCAACCACTCCTTCGACGACGAAACTCCACCTCCGGGAGTTAACATCGTTGGTGGCAAGTGGCTCTTTCGAGTGAAACAGCTGCCGCACGAGGCCCCAGTGTTCAAAGCGCGTTACGTGGCCAAAGGGTTCACCCAGCAGCAGTACCTGGATTTCTTCTAGACCTCCCCCACATCCAAACCACCCACTGTTCGCACGCTCTTGGATGTAGCAGCACGAGAAGACTTTGAGATCAAATCCATGGACGCCTCTTCGGCCTTCCTGCAAGGACGCCTCAAGGAAACCGTGTTCATGGATCAATCTGAAAGCTTTCTAGAAGATTTCCCTCCCAACACTGTCTGGAAGCTGAATCGCCCTGTCTACGGCCTCAAGCAAGCCCCTCGGGAATGGCACAACAAAGTGAAAGAAGATTCTCTCACTGGACTTTCACCCATCCTCTGCCGACCCAACCCTCTTTATTCGTAGCCACTCTGAGCCATTCTACATTCTTGTCTACGTCAATGACTTCATCCTCGTTGCCAAGGACTCGGCAGATGGCCTCTCTTCAGGAGGCCCTCAGCAAGGCCCTCTTGATGAAAGACCTCGGTGACCTCAAACACTACCTGGGGGTGGAGATCACTCGCGATTGCCAGGCTCGCACCATCTCTCTTTCCCAGGAGTTCTACATCAACAATGTGCTCAAGCGGTTTGAGATGGAGCTGTGCACACCTGTCGCCACCCCACTGCCGCTGCAACACCTCCTCACCGCCCCAGCTGTACCCACACCAGAGGCATGCACTGAGCTTAGTTGGAGTATACGCGTTTCGCGTTTTATACGCTAGCGTATAAACGCTAGCGTATAAACGCAGTACGCAGCTTTGGAGGGGTCTAATACGCAGTGAAAACGCAGGGCCGGGCAGGGGTAAAAAAAGTTTCGGGCAGGTGATTTTTTTTGGGTTAAGATGTGGGGAAGGGGGTGGTGCAAGGCACCATCACCTCCCTTCCCCTTTTTATTATAGGGCAGGTTACATGCACACAACATTTTGCCTACATCACTAGACCCCCTACCCCACCTCCCTTTCCCTTCCCTTTTTCAGGAATCACTACACTTCATAGGCCCATCCCATCCCATCCCATACCACCCCCTCCCCACATGCATGTCTATGCATACTCATCCTCAAGAACCATGTCCTCTTCCTCCCCAACCTCCTCCTCCGCCCCATCCTCCTCCACCTTGTAGCCCTCGGGAAGGGGCGCCTCAGGAATGTTGCCCTTGACCACCCGCTGCCCCTCAGGGACCTTGTACCAATTGTGCACAACCTGCCAGTTGTGCACAACATATACGAGGTCCCTGCACTTCTCGGACCCGAGGCGGTTGCGCCTTGCCGTGTGGACCGCGTCCCACATGGACCAATTGCGCTCACAGGGCGACGCAGACACCGGCTGCGAAAGGTTGCGGATTGCGCACGTAGCAAGGTGGGGCGCATCTGTGCCGTGCCAATTCCACCACTGGACGGCCGTCATCTTCCCCGCCTTCACAGCCGCGCGGTCTTCCAAGGCGGTGGGCAGCCCGAAACTCCCCTGCAGGGTCAGGTACGCCGTCAGTTCCTCCTGCAGCACAAGAGAGGCACGGCGCTCCTCGCCGTCGCTCGCGGTGATGGTGAGGTGGTCGTAGTGCTTGGCGATGTAGCCCTTCAGCACGCGCGTGCATTCGATGTCGTTTCTGAAGATGCCCTCCTCTTGGTTGACCGGATTCAAGATCCTGCCAACCACATGCAAGGGGCACGCCAAGCACTTATCCCACCTATCCTTCACGATGAGGCGGATCTCCTTAACCTCCGCCCTCGTCAGGTGACCCGCGGAGTGCTCCTCGAGGATTGCATCCACGTCCTCGGTGAGCTGCAGCATGGCGTCGTAGAGGCGCCCCATCATCCCCTTTGTCGCAGCATCCGTAGCCCGCATGACGGCGAACGGCTTCGCCATGAGCTTGGTGAAGAACTCGGCCTTCTTCCACCAAGCCTCGTCCATGATGTGCTCGCGGAAAGTGTCCGCGCTTTTACTCCTTGCCCCTGTTGCCCACTCCTTCCATTCATCGCTTAAAACCATCTGCACGAGGGCAGCACGGACTTCGACAAGGCGGGAAATAGCGATGAATTGCGTCCCGAAGCGAGTGCCCGCGGGTTTCAGGACCTGCTTGCCCTTCCCGCCCTTGACCTCGGAGCTTCGCAAATACCCCCGCGTGAAGTGGTGGTTGCGCGTGAAGGTGATGATCTCTCCCCCGCGGGTGACAAGGTTCTTCGCCCAGTCCATCTTCCCCACGTCCTCCATCAACAGATCGAGGACGTGGGTAGCACAAGGTATGTACTCAATGTGGGGGTAATCCTCCATCAGCTCCCTGCACGCCACCGCATAGTTCGAGCCGCCGTCCATGCAAAATGCCACCACATTTTCCGGTCCGACTTTCTTGAGAATGGGACGGAGAAGCCCCGCGATGTAACCTCCCGTCTTCGATTCCATCCGTGTGTCGATTGTCTCAGCGAAGACCGCGCCACTGTCGTTGATCAGAAGGACATTGGCTTGCGGACGGCCGTTACGATCAGTCATCATGTCGCTTGACACCGTTACGCCATCCCGCCGCCAGCTCGCCGCGATAGGAGCAAGCGCCGCCTCAATGCGCTTACGACATTTCTGGAGCCCGACGCCGCCGACGTAGCGACGCCTCGGTGCGAGGTAGCCTTCGCCCGCACGCGCAATGCAGGAGACCATGTTGCGCCAAACAGGGTGGTCCGCATGGTGTTCGGGGAGGCGCAGAGCAGCGAACGCGAGGCAGATCGACTCGTCGGCATCGTTCTTCTTGCAGGCTGACGCGTCGCCGTAGAAATCGGTCATGCGAGACTTCTTCGCCTCGCCAGAAGCACCGGAAACTGCAGCAACGGCCGAGACTTCAGCCGCGCGCTTCTGGTCCCGGGTCCTGGACTTCGTCTCGTACTGTGACTTCACTCCATCCCGCGCGGTCTTGGGAGCTTCCTCGCAGAGGCGGATTTCACGACGCCGCATACCCTTCCAGCTGGTGATGTGCTGAGCAGCGCGGTACATACCGCCCGTGAACTTGTGGCGACAGTACATGCACACCTTGGTGGCGTGGTCGCTGTCGTCGCCGGCTTTCACAAGGAAATGCTTGTACACAGCATGGGTTTCGTGCATGATAACCAGACCGGCGCTGGTTTCCTCAACAGAACTAGCATTAGGAGCTGCAGTAGGGGTAGTAGTACTGAGTGTTGCTGCAGGAGGGGTCGCCATACTGAAAGGCGAGCTAAAGAAGAGAGCTAAACTGAGTAATGAAAGTCGAGTGGAAAGACACGACATTTATGGTAGGAATGGTGGGTGGGTTGAGGGGGACTCACCTCAACATTGTATTTGAAGAGGTTGGAAGTGAACGGGGTACAAGGGGGTTTGCAATGGTAAAGGGTGGGTTTGGTGCGACTCGGTTTCAAATTTCGAATTCGGGGTTGCACTCGCGACGTGCGAAACCCCACACTTGAATCGCCATGTCGCTAAACGAAACTCAAATTTTGATTTTTTTTTTCCCGGTCTGCCCGAGCGTTTTTCAGCGTTTCCGAACCAAAAACGCAGCGGTCGTTTTTTTAGCGCGTATAAACGCAATACGCAAAATGTTCAGAGCGTATACTCCAACTAAGGCACTGAGCCATACCCAGAGCTTGTTGGGTCCCTCATGTACGCCATGATGTGCACCCGGCCTGACTTGGCATAACCTGTCAGTGTCCTCTCTCGATATGTGGCTCCTGGGCGCTTCACATACCTTCATTGGAAAGCCGCAAAGCGGGTGCTCCGCTATCTGCAGGGCACCAAGTCCCATGTCCTCACCCTTGGTGGGCTTTCCCCTCCTCGCCTGGAAGGTTACACAGACTCCTCCTGGGGAGATGACCAGATTGACGGACGCTCCTCTCAAGGCTACTGCTTCACCCTTGGGAGCGGGATTGTCAGCTGGCGCTCCACCCGGTCGTCTGCAGTCTCCCTCTCCTCCTGTGAAGCCGAGCTCTATGCCGGCACCATGGCGGCTCAGGAGGCCCGCTGGCTCACCTTCCTACTCCAGGAGCTTGGCTCTCCTCAGTCCACTCCCACCCTCTGGTGTGACAACCAGAGCACCATTCACCTCTCCCAGGATCCCGTGTACCACACTCGCACCAAACACATCGAACTTCGCCACTTCTTCATCCGTGACCTTGTCCAGCAAGAGCAGCTCAATGTGGAGTATGTGGCTTCCAACTGCAACTTGGCTGATATGTTCACCAAGCCCCTTGGGAAGGTCCCTCACCATCGCCTTCTAGGCGCCATGGGGCTCTGCGCTGCGGAGATAACTACTACAACGGGAGCTAGATTACGGGCTAGGCACGGGTGCTCGTGTGATCTCTGCGTTCGTTGGTCCTTAGTCGTTTTCCTAGTGCACACACAGCTTGCTAGTTCACAGGGAGAATTGGCAAGAGTTTCACTAGAGAAAGTTGACAACAATGGTACAATGAAGTTGGCATGGCAAGACTACATCAGAGCTAGCATTCAGGTCGGCCAACTGCCAGCGCAGCTTGGTCGACCGCGTTCCAGCACGACTTGGTCGACCGCGCTCCAGCAGTGCAAAGTCGACGGCGTGCCAACGTCGCAGGTTGACGGCGTGCCAGCGTTGCTCACGCAGAACAACAGCGCATCCGCTTCGCAGGTGTGCGCAGATGATTGGCGCGCAGAGTCTCGTCACCTGCACAGCGCACACACCACGTCAACCTCCCGCTGACGACTGCTTCTGATCGGCCACGTCGACCTCGGGATACCACCACCGAGGTCGGGCTCGCCAACTTCGCCTGGGCGACCGTCGCACTCCTCCGCAGAACCTCGTCACCCAGGTAACCTGGTCGACCGGGCAACCACGTCGACCAGCAGCTCCCGTACGTGGCCGTCGACCTCCCAAGTCGACGACCACCTCCATGTCGACCTCACCAGGTCGACCACGCCCCTGGTCGACCAGCTCTAGGTCGACGTCCCTTCTGGTCGACCAGCACCACGTCGACCAGCAGTCCTGGTCGACCAACCACCAAGTCGACCAGCGCAGTTGTCGGCCGACCACTCAAGTCGGCTACCCGAAGTCGGCGTCACGAAGTTGACGCCCAGCTACTCGACACCCAACTGCTCGGTGTCCTGAGTCGAGGTCGACGTCGGCCCCTCCGCGGTCGACCACCAGGTCAGGCCGACCACCACCAGGTCGACCAGCAGGCCGTTAGCCGACCACCGAAGTCGGCTGCCCTAAGTTGACGACACCAAATTGACGTCCTCCGTAGGTCGACTCCCAAGTCGACCTCCCTGAAGTCGGCGCCACCCTGAAGTCGGCGCCCGTGCAGTGGTCCCCGTGCAGGTCGACCTCCTCGTCAACCAGCTCGCCCACTGCTGCAGGTCGGCTGCTCCCCTCACACCCGACCACGAAGTCGGCTCCGCCCAAGCGAGGACGGGGCCAACACACAACTCCCGTTGACACTCCCCTGCCGCGTTCACGCTTGGGCCCCCAGCCCACACGGCAGTACTCCTCAGGGACTAGCTCATCGACGTGCACCCAACACACAGCACGTCGTCCACCGCACCAGCCATGCAAGAGGGCATGGCACCTACTGCTGCACTTCGTCAACTTCGTCGCCCACGTCGGCCAAGCGCACCTGGCCGATGGCGACGGAGCACCGGTTGAAGGCCGGATAGTGCAGCGCCTTCGTCAGGAAGTCGGCCGGCTGCTCAGCGGTCGGGATGTACTTCAGCGAGAACTTCCCGCGCTTCACCATGTGCTGCAGCCAGGCCTGTCGCCGCTCCATGTGCTTGAGGTTGCCCGTCAACCCCATGCCCTCGATGACTGTGATGGCCGACTTGTTGTCCACCCGGAGGACGGTCGGCTTCCCAGCGTCCAGCTGCTGGAACTCTGCGAGGAGGAAGCGAAGTCGACGTCCCTCCTTCCCGGCTTCCGTGGCCGCCACGTACTCCGACTCGGTCGACGACAACGTCGCGCACTTGATGCGCTGGCTCGACCAGGAGACTGCGGCCCCTCCGTAGACGAACACGTAGCCGCCCGTGCTCGTCCTGTTCTGCTTGTCACCGGCGTCGTCGGCGTCCACGTAGCCGACCAGCTCCAGCGACTCAGGTCCACCGCCGAACTCCAGGGCGGTATCACGCGTGTTGGCGAGGTAGGCGAGGCAGCGGTCGACCTCGCGCCAGTGCTGGTCGCTCCTCACCGTGAGGCCGCTCCCCAGCTTGCTGCAGGCGAAGGCGACGTCCGGCCTCGTCGTCGTCGCCGCGAACTGCAGCGAGCCGACCTTCTGTCGGTACTCCTCCTCCTGTCGCTCCTGCGCCTCCTCGTCGTCGAAGGTGAGATCGGCGTAGGCGTCGACCGAGACCGGCGTCTTTGGGGTGCGCCCGGTCTGCTCCTCGTTGATGAAGCGCCTACGCAGCTTGTCGGCGTAGCCCTGCTGGTGCAGCCACAGCTTCCCCGCCGACCTGTTGCGGACGATCTCCAGCCCGAGGTACTTCTGCACCGACGAGATCTCACGCAGCTCGAAGGCGGACTCCAGCAGCTCCTTCAGCTCCTTCAGCATCTCGGTGCTGCTGCTGGCGGCGAGCAGGTCGTCGACGTAGACCAGCACCCAGCAGGCCATTCCATCCTCGCCGACCTTGAAGTAGAGAGCCTCGTCGACCTGGCTCTTCTTCCACCCGGCGCCGACCAGCACGTCGTTGAGCGCCAAGTACCACAGCAGCGGCGACTGCTTCAGCCCGTATAGGCTCTTCAGCAGCTTGCAGACCCGGCCAGTTCCGTCGTTGAAGTAGTCCGGCTGGGACATGTAGAGCACCCGGTCGAGCTTGCTCTGCAAGAAGGCGTTCTTCATGTCGAGCTGCATCAGGTTGAGGTTGAGGACGGCGACGATGTTGAGGAAGATCCTCAGGGTGACGTAGCTGCCCACCGGCGCGAACGTCTTGTCGTAGTCGGCGCCGTACACCTGCGTGAAGCCCTTCACGACCAGCCTCGCCTTCTCGCGCTCGACGGTGTCGTCGACGTGGTACTTCGTCGTCAACACCCACCGGTTCTTCATGATGTTGACCCCCGGCGGGCGTTCGACCAGCTCCGAAGTGCCCATGTTGATGAGGCTGCGGATCTCCTCCTCCATGGCGGCTTTAACTGCCGGGCCCTTCCAGATCGCCAACGCCTCCTTCACCGTCATCGTCGAGATGTCCCAACGGTGTTCGGGGTCGGCCAGCACGTCGGGGTCGAGCTCCGGGAACTCCTCATCCTCCTCGGCGTCGTCGTACAGCAGGTCGTCGTCCTCGTCCACGTCGTACACCGTGGTGAAGGCAGCGGGGACAAAGAAGTCCGGCGGCCTCCGGACTCTGTCCGACTTCCGGGTTTCCGGCCGAACCTCCACCACGTCACTCTTGGTGGACTCCCCGGCGTCACCGTCTTCGCTGCCCTCGTTGTCCTGCTGCACCTCGGTCGACTTCCTGGTCGACCTCTCCCCTGTGGTCGGCTCCCCTGCCGACTGCCCGGTCGCCGACTGCTCCGTAGTCGGCTTCACGGCTGCCTGCTCCCCTGTCGGCTGCTGCTCCTCGGCCTGCTCCTCCCCGATCGACGTCGACTTCAATCCCACGTCGACCTGCCGCTCGTCACGTCGGCCACCGGCGATGCTCTTGGCTGGCGCCGAAGGCGACGACCCACTGCTCCCCTCATCGCCGGAGGCCGACATAGGGGTCAGCCCGTGCATGTCGGCCACGAGGGGAGGGGCAGGGATCGGAGGGGGATGGGTAGAGGGGCGGACGTCCTCGACGTCCGCAGCAGCAAGCTCACCGACCTCGGCGAGCAGTGGCAGCGTCGCCGACGAGGTGTCGGTGGGCGGGGTGGACGACGAGCGGCCGGACACCGGCCCGTGCTCCGACCTCCACTCGGCCAGCGACGTCTCCTCGTAGAACACCACGTCCGACGTGGTGACCACCCGGTTGGCGTCGACGTCGAGGAGCTCCCAGCCCTTGCTCGCCGCCGACACGCCAAGGTGAAGGCCCCACCTGGCCTTCGGCTTCAGCTTCCCACCACGCTGCTGCTCGGGGACAAGGAACTGCGCCATGCAGCCCCACACCCTCGCCATCGACAAGTCGGGCTTCTGGCCGACCAGCAGCTGGTACGGCATCGTCCCCGGCGGCAGCGTCGACCTCTCAAGGCAGTTGCGGATCCAGACGGCCTGCCGCAGAGCGAGGTGCCACCAGTGGTGCTGCACGCCCATGTGCAGCAGCATCGTCCGCACCAACTCCACCACCGTCCGCATCTCCCTCTCCGCCATGCCGTTCTGCTGCGGGGTGTACGGGCAGGTAAGGTCGTGGACGATC